TCCTTCGAGCGATAGTCCGCCTGGATATATAAGCTTGCTCCTGACGTGAAAAGCTCTCTTTAGCAGAATTATATTCTCGCCATCACCCACCCAAAGCCCACCACCCACACGCAACAATGGCTTTCGAGACCGTGACCTCTATCCCCAAGGATGCCGAGTATGACTTCGTCATTGTCGGAGGAGGCACAGCTGGCTGTGTCATCGCCTCGCGACTGACCGAATATCTCCCCAACAAGAAGGTCCTCTTGATTGAGGCCGGCCCAAGCGACTTCATGGACGACCGTGTGCTGCTGCTCAAGGACTGGCTCAACCTTCTCGGAGGAGAGCTCGACTACGACTACGGCACCACCGAACAGCCCAACGGCAACTCCCACATCCGACACTCACGTGCAAAGGTCCTTGGTGGCTGCTCATCACACAACACCCTCATCTCCTTCAGGCCGTTTGAGTACGACTGCAAGCGATGGGAAGCCCAGGGCTGCAAGGGCTGGAGCTTCAAGACCTTCATGCGCGTGCTTGACAACCTGCGCAACACCGTCCAGCCTGTCCACGAGAAGCATCGCAACCAGCTCTGCCTCGACTGGATCGACTCGTGCTCAACCGCCATGGACATTCCCGTGATCCACGACTTCAATCACGAAATCAAGACCAAGGGCGCCCTCAAGCCTTCCGTCGGTTTCTTCTCCGTATCATACAACCCCGACGATGGCCGCCGGAGCAGCGCTAGTGTCGCCTACATCCACCCCATCCTCCGCGGCGAGGAGAAGCGCGACAACCTGACTGTCCTCACCAACGCTTGGGTCAGCAAGGTCAACGTCAAGGGCGACAAGGTCACCGGCATCGACCTCACTCTCCAGAGCGGCGAGAAGTTCACCCTCAACCCCAAGTGCGAGACCATCCTCTGCGCAGGCGCCGTCGACACCCCGCGACTGATGCTCCTCTCTGGTCTTGGTCCCAAGCAACAACTCTCCGACCTCGGCATCCCTGTCGTAAAAGACATCCCCGGTGTTGGCGAGAACCTGCTAGACCACCCCGAGAGTATCATCCTCTGGGAGCTCAACAAACCCGTACCCGCAAATCAGACCACTATGGACTCTGACGCCGGTATCTTCCTGCGCCGCGAGATCCCCAATGCGGCAGGCGGCGACGGCGACATTGCCGACATCATGGCTCACTGCTACCAAATCCCATTCTGCCTGAACACCGCTCGGTAAGCCCAACAACCCCACATTTCCGCGCTGCAACTAACATGATCACCAGCATGGGTTACGACTCCCCCATCGACGCATTCTGCATGACGCCCAACATCCCCCGTCCCCGCTCCCGCGGCCGCATCTACCTCACCTCGTCCGACCCCACCGTCAAGCCTGCGCTCGACTTCCGCTACTTCACCGACCCCGAAGGCTACGACGCAGCCACCATTGTCGCCGGTCTCAAGGCCGCCCGCGAGATCGCCAAGCAAGCACCTTTCTCCAACTGGATCAAGCGCGAAGTCGCCCCAGGCCCGAAGGTCGTCACCGACGAAGAGCTCTCCGAGTACGGTCGCCGCGTCGCACACACCGTATACCACCCCGCTGGCACAACCAAGATGGGTGACGTAACAAAGGACGAGATGGCCGTTGTGGACCCCGAGCTGAAGATTCGCGGTCTCAAGAGCGTCAGGATTGCGGACGCGGGCTGTTTCCCCGAGATGCCCACCATCAACCCCATGTTGACTGTGCTGGGCATCGGTGAGCGCGCTGCCGAGTTGATTGCGCAAGAGTGGGGCTGGAAGGGTCTCCAGAAGGAGAGGTTGTAGACGCGCATCGCATTTCAAGAGAAGTGTGGCGGTGGGTAGATATGTGTTGGTAAGATAGATGTGAGTTGATAAGATAATGAGTGACGACTTTGAACGGTCACCCCAATGCGACAATACCCTTTGCAACAATAAGACATGTTATTTGAATGTGCTTGGCATGTGAGTCAAGTGCATGTGTGAGTAGATTGGATAGCAGACGGGTGTTTGTGATTGTCCGGCTTGATCGTTATGTGTTCAAAGAGCTCGGTGTTTCACCTGTTTGCGCATTATGGCACGGCCAAGTTGATTGACGGAAGAGTAAGCCAACTGATTGCATGAGCTAGGAGACGGACTTGGGCGTTTTCGCTAGTGACTCCATCGTCCGCTGACTGGTACCTATGTCAGGCTTGGCAGCGCACATTGTTGTTCATATAAGAGAACATTAATCCATCTAGGGAGCCTACTCGAACAACAAATGTATCGTCATCATCAGCATCGCATCGAAAGGACGAGAACATCACAACGTAGATGATGATAAAGCAATCCTCACAATCGACAAACAACGCGCTGGTAGTAGCAAATTACGTCAATTTCAACTCCGATTCACACTACCCATCCTCTCCTCCATCTCCTTCCCTATCCCCTCCTCCTCCCTTTCCATCCATCCACCCCTATCCACCCCCATGCCCTACACAGTAAGCGTATAAGTAACACTATCACACTTGCCATTGACAATCTGCCGATCCCCACTCGCCAACTGCAACAATCCCCTCCACGTCCCGCCATGCTGCATGTTAAAGCACGCTTGGTTGATGTTGTTGTTCGTCATGAACTCTAGGCCGCGCGTCACGGCGTCTTTCATGGTTTTGACTTCGGCGGTTGTGTCGCAGTTTTTTCCGGTTGTTGCCGCGTGGTATTGGTAGTTTACACTGGGAGGGGAGGGGTTAGTGGCTAATTTTGGATGATGGAAGGGGGATGGGGATCAGAGAGAGGGGGAAGGTGGGAGAATAATGGAGCGAAGGGACGTACCCGTCAACAGCACCAGAGATGACACCACAAGTGTTGGCTTCACTCTGCGCCTTCATCAAGTTGGACACGTAAGTCGCAATCGCATTCACATTGAGTGCGACCATGGAGCCTGCGCCCAGAATGGCGATTTGCTCTTCGATGGTGAGGCGTTTGGCGAGGTCGTCGCTGGAGTGGAGTGTTAGCAAGCGGTTGGAGGGATGATGTGGAAAGCGACTTCTTCGTCGTACGTACCTGGACTGCGAGTCTTCGCTCAACGATGGCAGAGCCTCCCGCTCAGGGAGGGAGAGGGCCATGGCGTTGTAGCCGAGACAGAGGGCGGTTGCGGCGATGGTTGAGAAACGCATGATGGGTAGTGGATTGGGGATGTTGTATTGTAAGAGATGAAAGCACGGTAAAGTAGTTATGGTTGAGTGGTGAGGATGATGCGGTAGAACTGTGTGTCTTGCCCGATATATATACACTCTCACGATGAACCGTTCCGACTGATAAGTTGTCAAGAGTCGAGCACAGATTGACTTGCTGCACGCCTTGAGCCATGATGATCAAGTGCTTGCACGCCTGATGTCAACGGGTCTGGAGAGAAAAGCCTCGCGATACGACCGAAGTGTACTGGATAGAGGCAAGATGCTTGATTGGCAAGCAGGTAGACCGATGCTGTCTTCATCACATCCCGTGGAAACCGCCGTACAGCCCTGTATGTGTAAGGCGCCCCTCTTGGATCAGCGTCTATACAATATCAATCATGGTGTTGCACTTCGCCGTCTCTTAGGCGTTCCCTCGTTAGCCTGTGCAGCGGTCCGATTAGAGACGTTGAACCCCATCTTTCTGCGGTGTTTCAGTAATCACAGCCCCCGCAAAGTTCCCGCGCTCAAAAATAGCTGCTTTGGGTAGACTATCTACGTCAGCATCGCTCAGGCGTTCCATCCTCCGTCGCTGTTTATAGCCGCACGAAGGCTGTGTACCTAAGGCGTACCGGATCGGTCCGTAAAACAACCCTACGTTTGCGCCGACCGACATCTCCGGATCTTGAAACCAAGACAGATCAAGATCGGCATAAGCTTTCGTGGGGCGGGCTTATTTTGACTGCGATACTTCGATCATGTCCATGTACCGTACATCAGGCACCCCGCGATCATCTATGTCGGTCCTTTGGTACAGCGTTGCGGCATGGATTCACGTCGCCGTCTATCAAACTTGCTCTCTCATTTTGTGATCAAGGCGGGCAGTGTGTTTGGAGGCCTCATGAAGCTCAGGTCGACGAGGCAGAAACGGTCGTCAAGAGCTTGGTAGTTGACGAAGAGGGGAAGTAGAGCGCGGGCCTGGTGTAGGTTGTGTTCAGTTGGAGATGTATATAAGTCATCGACGCGTCGAGATGAAGGTTATCAACTCATCACAACAGTTCCTCCCAAGTCACAATACCCAGCCAAAATACCCCTTTTGCTATACATCACTCATTCACGATGCGTTTCCAGCTGGCCCACATCTTCTGCCTCCTCGGCGCTGCCGAGTCTCTCGCCATCGGTGCCCCCGAGAAAGAGTAAGTCGTCGTCCCCCCTTCCTCTACATCTTTCATTGCAATCCACTAACCCAACCCCTCTAGCTATGCCCTTCTCGACACCAGAGACATCGCCTCCCCCCTCTCCCCCCGCACCGACATCGAAGTCGCCGCCGGTTTCGTCAGCCAAGGCGCAACCGCCACCCTCGCCATCGTCTCCATCGCCAACTACCTCGCCGTGTACATCAAAGGCCAATCCGACGTCAACAGCTGCTCCGTCATCTCCGGAAACGTCGACGGCGCCGTGTGGCAGTACTACGCGACCACCTCTGGCCCCAAGTGCGACACGACGTCTGAGTCGAAGACGATTAGGAACGCGGTGGAGCGCGAGCTCAAGTGGATGCAGGAGAATGGGTATGATGCTGCTTGCTTTAAGATGGATCATGGGGGTACTTGGGAGGGGCATCTCAAGATTGCGTTGAATGGGAAGCCAATTGCTAGTGACACGCAGTGCAACTCGGCGAAGTTTGTCAATTTGTAGATGTGTGGTGTAGTGGGGATAGGGAACAGGATGGGTGGCATGGGCTCTTGTGCAGGCAATCTCGTGCTGGGCGCATAACACAGTGTCAGCAGGCTTCATTATCTATTGTCATGGTTACATTTACTTCGCATCCTTCCTCGTCTATCTACCCCCGTCTCTTACAAGTCTTCATCATCATCAAACTCAAACACTCGCGTTAGGCCGTCGTCCTCATGTTCGGCCTCCCGCTCCTCGATCTCTTCTGGTCCTCCCGCCGCGTATTCCTGCTCTTCCCCCTGTCCACCTCTTTCTTCGCGCATATCCACAGGCCCCCTACCCTCAAAGTTGAGCGTGCCATCTATCTCATGTGTCGCTAGCACATAACCCCCTTCCTCATCCACTCCTCCGGTGAACACCTGTCCATCCCGTTCCCTTCTCCTCCTGTCCCTCCTTCTCTGCTCAGCCTGTCTCCTCCTTCTATCCCGCTCTTCTTTCCCTTGAATCCACCTTCTCATTGGTGCGGGAAGCTCATTCGGCATGACGCCTGTCTTCTCCATGCCCCAGGTGGTGAAAGAAAGGGCCGCGCGGTTGGTGGAGGAAAGAGTTGCTGCGCCAATACTCCACGATGCGCGGCCAAGGCCTGATGATGCGAGAGCGCTGGCGAAGGAAAGGGTCGCAGTGGAGACCTCGGACAGCGCGGCGCTGGTGTCGTGGATGGCGGCAGGCCAGGTGCCGGGGAAGGGTGTGGCTGTTGGAAGGGATGCCGTTGCAGAGGAAGGAAGGTCTTCCCAGCTTGAGGAGGAAGACGATGATGCGGATGCGGGCTGAGAAGGGGTTTCGTCTTCCTCGGCATCGAATTGCGACTCAGCGGCGGTGCTGGTGCGGATATTGGCCGAGCGAGATTGTGGTTCTGGCTCCGCTTGCGCTTCTTCGAAGTCGCGTTGTTGTGCAGCGCTTAGTGCTGCGGACTGCATGGGCGCATTTTCGAAGCCGTCGTGGGCACTGTAGTATGTTTCTGTTTGTGATGAGGCTTGGTGTTGTGGGCGGCCTCTCGTGCTCCCGCCCGATTCGTAAGGGTGGTTGCTGCCTACAGCCTTGCGTGGACGCCCGATCTTGTCGACCATCGTGGCTGTTGCGGAATACGGTATGTGTTTCAAGTACGTAGTATAGTATATGTATAAGGTTGCCGACTACAGTTGCAACGAATGCTACGACGCGCGAAGAGACTCCGGGGGCGTATGCTGAAGAGGTGGGTGATTATACTTCGTATCGTGGGGCACGAGGGTGGTGGCTGCCGTATGTGGTGAATGCGAGAACTTCAATGCGCGATTCAATCAGAATAGGGAAGTGCGAACGCCTGCGCCAACGTCACTGCTTCACCGCGATCGCAACGCTGTGACAAGACGGAAGCGGAAAGCTGTCGGACGAACGATCAATATGCGCATTGCTGCGAAGACATCGAAATTTTCGGAATGAAATCTGTACCATGGATGCGCGACCAGGACCTAGTAGATGATTTGATTATACTGACTTGTGGTAGGTCAATATACTGAAGCTGCGTGCGCAGCACGAAGACCTGCGCTAAGCCATCCATAGGTACGCTTCGTAAATACCAAGGTACCACCTGGGCATGGCAGGTTTGCTAAGGCGGTTGCGAGTTTGAACACCAAACGCGGTTCCATCGATGTGAATGTCACAACACGTGACTGCGCGCGTCACTTCGTCGACCCACCCAGCGATGCAAAGAGGGGTATTTCCGAAATGAAGTGCTTGAATGCGCGATTTAGATAAAAAAAAGCGACACATTCATTGCTCCCGGCGTCGCTTGCGCCGACCTCGCGCTTTACATTGTGCTTGCGGCCCATAACCACATAGTGAATACCTGCCTCTAGGCAATCACAACACCAGTTCGATATAAGACCGCGGTACCCCGCCTCCGACAAAACAACGCGACAGCTCAGACCATCAGTCTTTATATACCACCCGCTACCTGCATTCTGCGCATTATCACAGCCGCTTGCATTCCAAAACACACTTCCACCACTCGTCGTCAATACCGACCTACTTCACATTCTCTTACTTCCACTCACAAGATGTCTTCCGATCCTTCCAGCAACCAACAGGCTGCGCCCAAGATGCGTCCCGTCACCGGTAAGCACATCCGCGCTCGCGTTTCGGTGCGTCTTTCCGTATACTGACTTGTCGCCCAGGAGCTTTCTTGCTTAAGCAGAGTCCTCACCATCTCTCGCATGACATCAAGGACATTCTCGAGAAGCATGGCGTCAAGCTCTCTCCCGGCTGTTCCCAAGAGCTCACCCGATACCTCAACGACAAGCTTGAGGCGTACCCCATCCCTTTCGACCCCAAGCGTCCCAACCTCCAGGCGGATCTCGACAACAGTGCTCGTCTTCGCGATAGGAGGGCTCAGCTTAAGGACCAGGGTGCGACTTCGGAGACACCCGCGAGGACGCTTCATCGATCGCGTCCCGACACCTTCTCGCGGTTCGGCAAGCCTCGCAACATCAACGAGTCTTTCATGGACGTTCCGTGGAACGATCCAGTCTCGCCATCCATGTTGCAACCGCCGATACCTGTCAGCGTAAACTCGCTGCTTCAGGGCTGGCCTCTGAAAGAGAAGTCAGTCGCAGCTGTGAAGACGCCGGCCAAGGTCGAGAAAGAGCAGTCTGTGAAGGCCGAGATCCAGAACTCCGTGAAGTCCGCGAAAGAGCCTTCCGTCAAGGTCGAGATCGATCGACCTATTAAGACTAAGATCGGATCGGCCAACACCATGAAGCCGACCTTATTGAAGCGAGAGCGCGCCGACGATTACCTCGATGTCGCGACAGAGGAGCTTGCCGAGCGCGCGCCCCTGGAGGTCGATCCCAAGCCTGCGCCTGCTCCCGCCATCAAGGCTGAAAAGGCCACGACCACGAGCGCTAAGCGCACCCTCAACGCTCTCGAAGAGATGGACTCCGACGCCGTCTCCTTCACTTCTGACAACCTCGGCGCTGTCAAGAAGACCCGCCCCGCTGTCAAGCAGACACCATCCTCCGCACCCGCCATCGAGGTCGAGAACAACAACTCCGGCTTCCAGAGCTCCATCGGCTCTTCCAATTCTTCGGGCTTCCAGTCTTCGGTTGCAGGTGTCAAACAGGAGTTCCAGGAAACGCCTGACACCACGTACCTTGGTGAGTCGCAGCAGACTCTGGGCCGGTCGCAGAGCCCTTTCAGCCAAACCCAAGGTTTCCCGAACTCTTTCTCCGGCAGCCGCTTCGGCAGTCAATCCTTCCTGAGCTCTCCCGGTTCAGTGACTTCGCAGACGTCCGGACGTGTCGAGATCAATCCGCGTCGCTCTGCTAGACTATCTCAGGCTAAGACGACCGCTGCCGTCCCATCAGCTCCGTCAGCTTCCGCCTCCTCAGCTCCTCCAGCTCCGTCTCCTACGCCATCTTCCGCCTCCTCTCTTGGTGTGAAGCGCCGTCGCTCCGCCAGCCTTGCAGACGAGGTAGAGCAAGTAGAGCGCCAGGGTCGCAACAAAAAGTTCGTGACCAAGGATGTGGTCGTGAAACAGCGCGAGGCTCGCAATAATGAGGATGCAAAGGACAACAAGCGCAGTAGCGCCCAACGTCGTGCCTCGGTGCTTCGTCGCCGCCCGATTTGAAGAGCGCGATCATCTCGGCTATCTTCATCAGTCGCCGCGCGGGTCTCCCAACAAACACACCAGACCACCAGTGGGCGGCATACCTACAGCGCCACTTCAACAACCACTAACTCACATTCATCGTAGCCCAAGAGGCTTCCATCGCTCGCCGCATCTTGGCTGAGTCAGAACAACCTGCCTTCCGAACGAAAGCCAAAAGAGCTTGAACTGTCTATCTCCGCGCCCGAATCGCGCATCTATCCAAGCTATCCCGATAATCGCTCCGGCCGATCATGTCAGAGAACATCGACGGCCGTCAGTCAAGGTGGTCAAAAGTCCAGAGAGACTTCACCACCCAGTCAGCCAGGTGCAAGCTCAAAGAGCTCACCTCTACCATCCCATCGCCGCGTCCAGAGAGGCGCGTCCATCGGGGTCATACCAACTGCATTGGCTCAGCTGAATCCGTCCAGAGAGACATGACAGCTGACGACCGAGATGAGTGCAAGACCCAGAGAGGCTTGAACCGCCGGTCGGGATGAGCGCAAGGCCAAAGGGTCTTGCCTCATCATCCACGCCATCACCGCGTCCAAGGAGGCGCGTCCATCGGGGTCATACCTGCTGAGTAGGCTCAGCTGAATCCGTCCAGAGAGACTTGACAGCTGACGACCGAGATGAGTGAAAGACCCATAGAGGCTTGAACCACCGGTCGGGATGAGCGCAAGGCAAAAGGTCTTGACGACTCATCGGCCATCCACCACCAAAATACTTGGTGGATATGCCTGGAGATATTTGGGACACAAAAGTGTTTCCATCACCCAGGTGCGATGAGATCAAGGCCACAAAAGTGGCTTGACTCATCTGCCACGCGCAACCGACCCTTATCGTCGAGCGATCTTGAGTCGACTGGAAGGTAACCGGACTCTCATCGTCGTCGCACTGAGCGCATTGCCAGAAGGCTTGCCCTACAGTTCTTTCATCTCTTTCCTGTTTCTCGAGCCATGTTTGGATGTTCTTCTGTTCGCGATTGCTGGCCAGCTGCACACCCTTGTATTATCTTTCCTTCTTTGTTTTCTGCGTTACTGCAATTGGTGCAAAGACGTCTTGTTAGCATTTTTACATGCGTTCTCAAAAGTGATAGTAATATAAAAGGTCATGAAGATAGTCAAAGTGCGTCGATGCAAGTGTGATGTGGTGACTTCGGCTCTCCGCCCGCGTATCCCCACCTCCGCATGCAAGTCAGATTAAAGTTTAGCGCACCAATGCGCGTTGAGGATCACGACGACATGCATAACGTACTTTCGCTTTTACAGTGTTACGCCCCTGCACGACGTCGCACAGCGCTTTCCGTCTTACATTGCTTAGATCGCGTACCCCGCTGGTCTTACCTCACGACACAATGCAACTCCACTTCCACGTCCTCACAGCCTTCCTCGCCATACTTACACCCGTCGCATCTTTCGCAATGTCTACTTTAACGCCCAACTCCACCGACTCAGCTCCGGTAACGCGCATAGCCACATTCCGGTTCCTACCCAACGTCACCGCGGAGCAAAAAGGCGACCGCGCATCCGCCTTTCTCGCGCTTTACGCTGAGCACCCGGAGCTGCTAGTGGAAGGACCGAAGGGAGGAAGACCGCTGAATACCCCATTGAACCTGACGAATGTGAAGAGGGAGAGTGTGTGGGACTTGGGTTTCGTTGTAGTCTTCAAGGTATGAAATGGATGGTGACGCGACCGCATCGCGAGTGCTGACATGGAGTAGGATGAAGCCTCGAGGCAGGTGTTCGATAAAGATCCGACGCACGATAAGCTGAAGGTATGTGACGTCTCCGTCGTTGTAGAAGGATTGAAGCTGACATTGCGGAAGAATGAGACGGACCCGTTGCTCGAGCAGGTGTTTGTGTATGACTTTGTTGCGCAGCCGAATCTGGGGTGGTGATAACAGCGTTCATATTGGGTCGCAATTTGTCGCATGGATACCGTCAAATCTTAACGACTAGATAGTCTCTCTTGTCATGTGTGCTCCTGGCGCTGCTCCGTTTGCTCTGACGTATCTCCGTTTCTGGCGCTAGCGTATCGCGTCTGCTTAGATGTCAAAAAACCAACTTCTCGTCCACTCGCTTTCCATTCCCAATCCACAACTGCACTGACGATGGCGGAATCCTACCTCGAGCCATTGCGCCACCTCACCAAGAATGGCTTCGACGATGCGCGCTTGCTACTTCTCCAAGGTCTCAGTCGCGAGCAGCGCAGTGCCTTGATTCAGGAAGGCATGGAGCGCTTCACTACCGACGAAGCATCCGTGCAGTTGTGTCTCCGTATGCTCGATTCGCTGCAACAACCAGAAGAGCGGGCGGCGTCTGAGCTGTCCATTGAAAGGAACGGTAAGAGATAAAGCAGTGAGTGAGAAGTAGACACTGAATTACTGTATCACAGACTCCCGGCAGCCTAGCAAAAATACCAGCCGCGCCAGCGCCTGCACTCGCCGCGCATATTCCCCCAACCTCTGGCATAGCACTACCGAGGCGCCAAACCAAGCGGAAAGCGACGGAAAACGTAGACCCATCCGGCGACCGTGTTCACAAAGCGCCCACGCTCAACGCGACATGTGACGGTGTCAGCAGCCTCTTCAATGGAGACGAAGATGACGATGAAGACTGGGAGGGTACGACTGCAAGACTTGATGACGCTCCCGCGATCGCCAACGCCGACATTAATGTCATCGACATACGCTCCACAACCCTGGATATACCCGTCCTGAAAATAGGCGCAATGGTCCCGAGCGTCAACGGTCGTGAGCGATGGCAACCTCTCGGTTACCTTGATGGTAACATCGGCACCGATATCCATGACAAATTCTTTGCCCACTTTGCCTATAAAGAGGCAAAGCGAGCAGCATATTCGGCGGTGGCGACGAGTGTCCCCAAAGGCTACGATCTCAGAGGCGTATGCATCAACGTAGCCGTGTGGCAGAAGGAAGGCGATCTATCCAATTCCCAAAGGCCTGGTAGGAACAATACGAGGGCTTGCGATACTTGCATCCGCACAAAGCGACTCTGCGTGCGCGCTTGGTGGGAATGGCCAGTAGGCCAAAAGCTTTGCGTAATGCCTCTGCCCGACACTTATCGTCAAGGCAAAGCGTTGGGTTCCATTGATGCATGGGTCAACGGAGGATAACGGGAAACGGAACAAGTGCGCTGGATTCTACATTAGTCTCAAAATGAAAGCTGTGGAGATTATAACGCGTTGGAAACTTCTAAAACGCCTCCTTCCTTTGTCCGCTGAAGCCTGGTGTCAAATGAGAATGATGTGATAGATGGAAGTAGACGGAGGAGAGCTGGGCCGCAAAACATGTAGCTAACGATGATCGGCTGCCTTACGCGGCGAATGTTTGCAGTCATGGCGTTACGAAAGATAAGACAGTCCCTTTAGTGATGCGCAAGCTTGCCCTTGAGATTTTCGTAGAGAGACTGTAGAATACAAACGTGTGTGTGAAGGATGCTGGGCATGTGGCATGATGCGGATTCGCGAACCTTTGGTGTTCGTCGGTCCGAGCTCCAGACGATGCGCTAGTCCTTAGCTCCGCCGGGGAATGCCGCCCGGCGTCATCAACAAACATCCGGTGCCGGCTACTCACCTCGCACCACAGCAACACTAACGTGTGCGCATCTACACGATGACGAGCTCGTATCTGGAGGCGCTGCTTATGCTGTCCGGTAATGAAGCGTTCGCCGATGCGCGCATGAGGCTCATTGATGGCCTGAACTGGGAAGAGCTGGAAATCGTTGCCGTCGAAGGGATAACCGGATGTACCAACCGAAAGGTACGAGAGCGATTGGTCTGCGCAATGCTCAATATTCTCAAAGAGAATCCGAATATCGAGCCAATGACAGTTCCAAAGACTGGTAAACATGCAATTATGGACATACGAGGCGCCGGCTGATATGTATCACCACAGAATCTCTGGGGTTTGTCCCCATCGCACCTCGGATAGACGCGACACAAGTAAAAGCAGTAACCCCTTCGGTGGCCAAGCGAAAGCGCGCTATTCAGGACACAATTAGCGAGCGACAGGAACCTGCTAGTAAGGCATTCAAAAATGAACCGATCGGTGGCTCATCGTTGGACACCATCGACTTACGTGATGACGAGAACGATGACAAGAACGAGGACAAGAACGAGGACGATTACGAGAGTGACATGTGGGAAGCGGATAACGTCATACATCCATACGACTATCGCCCCGGGATACCTCCGACAGTCATCGATCTAGAAGATTCTGTTAAAGATGAAGAAGAAAGCAATACAGTAGCGCCACAAGTGGTGCTGTACGCGGACCAAAATCCTGCGACGGACGTGAACTTCATTACATTCCCCGCAGCCTCCGCAAACGAGCCAGATCCCAGACTCAGGATAGGCGTATGGGCTCCAAACAGCTTCGGAGGTGGCGCCTGGCTACCTCTTCAGGACCTATCAATTGGGGACGGTAGAGTCATCCACGCAATATTCAATCGAGTCTACATGTCGCATCCTAAAATATCGACAATGTATCGGTCAATAGTGAGGGATGCAGAACGCTTCATGCAGAGGGGAATGTGCGTCTGCCACTGGCTGTACAGCGGCACAGGCGCATCAAAGTACACTTCAGCCGAAGGAGACAAGGACAGAGCTTGTGACCATTGCAATGGCCGGATGCGTCTATGTGTCAGAGTCATTCTGGACACCATGGGGCCCAAGCTGTGCATATTTCCATTGCACGATAAGTTTCGCGCAGGCCAGACTTCAATCTCGCTCGGCGCATATGTCAGACTTAACGGAGTCCTCTTCAAATTTGGGGAGAAGTATACACGTGGAACATGGGGTATCTCGAGCTTCTCTATCTCCCAATGAGCAGTCACATGCGGCACATCAAGCGTCTCACAATGCATATCGAGGAGCGAGAGAGAAGAGCAGCGCGGTAGACATGAGCCACATCGGGAAGATCCACAGGCAGCTACGAAATGTTCATCCAGCGTTCATGCCGAAGCAACCACCCAGCATGAGCTTCCGAACACACCATCCAATTTTCATCGACAAATCAACCTTCACCTCCTCTATTGTCTCGACAATGCCCCCACGAAGTCTCACAATTCAAGCTGTGGAAGACTAAGGCCCGCCAAGAAGATTGAGAGTATCGTTCAGACTTTTGCCAGAGAAGATACCAAAGTCTTGCTCGCACACCGTCCCTTCTTCCGGCATAGTCCCGTTCACGAAATACGCAGCGGTTGCGGTAATGGCACAGGTCCCGGGACTGTACATAACCGTGTGCTACCAATGTCGTTAGCGATGTTCTCTCCCGAATACATTACACCCGTCCATGAAGCCAAGCCCGTCCATGAAGCCAAGAAATGCTCTTCAACTCACCCCGAGACCATCGTGCTGCAGCACAACGCTTCCTTCAAGCGTCTTGTTCGCCGCATAAGCCCCAGAGATCGGAGTGCGGACGTCATACGGCGAACCGATGAGCAACACAGGGTACCTAGTCTTCGCCTTGAAGTCACCCTCGTACCGTTCTTTCGCCTCAACCTTCCATAGCGAGCACAAAACATACGCGCCGATGACGTAGTCGCTGTTCCAATCACCCAATTTCGTTATGCGCTGGACGCGTTCCTCGATATCGGCGAGCTCGTCGGCACGGAACATGGCATCGGAGCAGCGGATGAGCTGCGTGTTGTCTGCATTGACCGCTGCATCCTGTATGATGAAGGAGCGATTGGCCAAATACTGGGTATGGTTGTATTCTGGAGTATCGCGGATCATGATGCTGTTGAGATAACCAGCTAAGTAAGACCCGGACGCCAGACCCATGCGCAGAGCGGTGTCACTCGCCTCAGCGATCTTCTCGTAGGTGACGATATCGGTGGTGACGTTGGGGCCCATAACGATTGGCTCGCGTTTGGCTTCTTCGCTCAGGTGTAGGATTTGGTCGTACAACGAGTCGGAAGAAATGTTGGGGCGAAAGAGGGAACAGGAGGGGCCTGCGTTGATACATTGTTTGGTGAACTGTCCCAAGGCAACTGGCGCAGATTCAGCTGGACCGGTCTCCCTGATGCTCGGTTAGCTTGTGTCGCAGTCATCTGGGGGAAGCTACGTACCATCCTTGCTGATACTCGAGCGGGTTGAGAACACCATCCAGCATCATCCGTTCGACCTTATCGGGAAACATAGCAGCTAGCACCTGACCGAGATACGTCCCATAGGATATGCCTGAAATAGATTAGTCAATAACCGCATATATTGTGACTCATCTTCAACTCACCCCAGTACCGCAGAAGACCATCCTCGCCTTCCACAGTCAGAGCATCAACAACCTTCATGAAATCTCTGGCAACGAACGCTGTGCTCATCAATGACCCATTCACTGCCTCGTTCTGGAAACAGCGTGCGGCGTATTGCTTGCTGTAAGACCAGACAGCGCCCAACGCTACATCGGATGAGTTGGTCCTCGTGGGGGTTCGCAAGGTTGCGACCATCCGTTCCATTTCGTCGTTGTAGCAATCTGCGGGCATTGTCGTACCAGTACCTCTGGGGTCGGGACCGATGATATCGTATTGCCCGCCTGTCATGCTGCACGAGAAAAGTTGTTAGCTTGTGATCGCAGCATCTACATGACAAGGAGCAACTTACGCAAGAACATAACGAGCTCGCTGCAAAAGCCAGTCAGTCGCGGGCAAACCCGGTCCGCCCCAGTTCGTCAACACACTCCCTAGCTTAGGCTCTTTGGTCGCTTTAACCTTCAGGATGTTGAGGTTGAGGGTGTTATTATTCGATTGGGGTAGCGTATAGTCAAGGGGTACAGCTAGCTTTCCGAGATAAGTGTCGGGTCTGCCCAGAACGGTGGACGCATCTGTCCAGTTGATAGCGACTTTGTCGGCATTCTCGGAATATTTGGCATATCCAAAAGATGATTGTGACGCCGTCGCAGCGATGTTGAGGCATGCGATTAACGCGAGGCAAAGGGTCGTCCTTGAAGACATTTCGGTACAGTGGTTGTGACGGCCTGTCGATGGTATCGAGATGCTTCCCTAGAGTCTGGTACACTATATATACTTTTACTAAATCTTGCTTTCCCACCTGGTCAGCCTTGCAGATGCAACAGGAGAGGACGAGGCGTCCTTCGCGCAGTGCTAGTTGTGGGGGCCGCATCAGAATCAAGCGCTCGTCAAAGCCGGACGTGATCAACGGAGCCACAATGACATCGAATTCGTGAGCACTATCGTTAGTAAGAACTGTTAGGCGAAAATAGCCAGCCAGAACCGAAGTAGAGCGCAGTCGTGGCTAATTTGATTCGCGCATACATTATGAGGCATATGCTGCGCACTTATACCGAAACGGACTGCGATATGGCCAAGCTTTCTTCCTAGTTAATGCTCGCTGTTGAAAGTCTCGCTGTTTTGGGGTAGCCTCAAACACCGCCTGCTATCAGCGCTAACCCTGTTAGGAAGTCAGAAGGGCCAAGACGAACAGCAACGAATGAGGAGGAGCAATGGCAGCGATGGCATTGTGGGATCGTTATTGGCCAGCACCAGGTCGCGCTTCCTTCCCTTGAGTGCAGTCAGCTCAGCTCGCTTCTTTACTGCCGAAACGAGACAAGTGCGCATGCACTTCGGCATCTCGGTGACCCATCGAATGTGGCAATTCCGGTTCTGGGAAGCACTGAAGTATGCAATAGTCGATGATTCATTCAAATTAGATTCAGGGCTGGCCTAAGCAGTCGACGACACCATGCTTCAGTCGGCCGATGCATAAACTTCAGAGCCGCATCGATTCGCCATGTGGATCAGCAGACACCCGCTGGTACAAGAGTTGTGAACCTGCAAATCGATCTCATTAGCCATCTCTCTGAAAACGTCCGGCATGAAATACTTACGGCTCATCAAAGCACTCATCCCAACCAGGCTTCTTCCGCCGCCAGTATCGTCGGAGCACTTCTCGCGCCTTCAAAGGACTGTTACTGCCAAGGAGGCGGGCATGACCCTCCAAGAGCCGTTCGATCCAGATCTGAGTGCTTTTCTGAACGTGATAGCCCGCTTCCACGCCAAGCACACATAGTGGAAATGTCGATATCTTCTTGAGCTGTTTCAATCGTGCGGCAGCCTTCAGATCTTTAAGCAGACGGTCGCGATGTCGCACTCGCATAATATCCATCTCCGTGGTGCAGGGAAGAATGAAAAAAGCTTGCAACGACATTATGCAGTAGAGTGCGATTGCAGACTGCCAAATTGATGTGATCAGCTGCCAGTCATCTTCTTGATCTCTCGACTGCGCCCATTCTTTTGGGCTGAAGGATTCGATGCGGGAAAGAATGCTTTTTGCATCTTCAGCGTACTGATGCGAATCCACGACGGTTGTAAGGCTGAGCTCTTGGCGGAGGCGGTTGATGCGAATAATCTCGATAAAGAGGCTTGACGGACACAGTGTGTAAGGGAGGATAAGGCTATACACCTTCTCCACTTCCTCGATATGCTGTTCGAGTGGCTCAGTGATACTGATCTGATGCGATGCTGGACCAAGACTGTTCGAAAAGGTTACGATGCTGCATGGTGTCAGCCACATTCGTCGCAATCGACGTGTTATACCAACAGTACGAAGATCACCAGCGCTGATGTCATGTGAGGTACTGTGCTTCGTAGTGATTCAAAGCCACCACGCATATCTATCAGTCGTTTCATGCCATCTGCATGCGACCTCCAGTCTACATCTGTAGAGCTATGTACCTGAGAGCGTGATCAGCTTTTTGGAGCGCGCATGTCGAGATTCTCAAAGTATACCTCCATCGCCATGAACATGAGAATGCTGGCGATTGTTTGATCACTACTGCGGGTTTCCTTCCTCGCGACATTATCATTGAGAGCGCGTATAGCAAGACCTCGATAATGGTATATCTTGAGGCGTTTGTCTGCAACGATCGCACGGTCCTTGCCGAGAGGCAACGAGGTCAAGTGGTAGTTGAGACTCAGGCAGACAGTGGTATAGTGCATCGCTGGAGCCAGGATATGCAATGCCCATACTGGGAAATGAACCACTGCTGGGTTGGGTGCTAGGCAATCGGTCTGTTGGATGTCCGGATATATCTTAGAGTTGACTAGCGGGCTTAGCAGATGCATTCAGTTGAGCTTTGCGCACATACAGTAATTGATAGCTTGTACCACGTCGTGTGTCTCATCCGACAAGAAATCGTACGATGGAAGTCTGTTCATCTCCATAATCTGCAGCAGTCTCTGTATCCTCGCAAGAGGCCTCTGATTCGACTGCAAAAGTAGTGCGGCTTCCCAGTGCTGGCCTCTTTCTACCACTTCCTTGATCTGGTCTTTGTTGCCAATGCACATGATGCGTTCGCCCACCCCACAGCCCGCCCCGGAGTCTGCAGCTATTAGCTCAATGGGTTCGACCGGCTTCTCGACTCCAGAATTGCGCCACCATGATGGCTTGTCATTTTGCACCAATGGGTTGGCAAGTTGGCATTTGGATAGTTCGACCTCTTCCGGGGTAAGCTGAAGCTCTTCGGAGACCAGCAACGAGCACCCTCCTTGTCCGAGCAGCTCTAATAGACCCGTCTCTCTAGTCACCCCAGGAGTAGCAACGGGTCCATTTGGAGTGACACGCGTGGGTCTTCCGGAAGTCCCTGTTCTGATGGCGGATGTTGGTGGCCCGCATTCCTTCTTCTTCTTCTTCGGACGAATCGTCACGTGCCCTGGTTCGACCCATTGCAACGGCTTCTGGTCGTTATATCCTGGGCATTCCTTACCCGTCTTGGTACATTTCCTGCAGAGCGGCAGGGTGCGATCGCACACCAGGCGGCGTTTGAAGCACTCCCAGCATTGACGGGCCGCTATGCTGTCACTGGTCCTAGCGTCCTGCATGACGTCATCCACGTGTATCGACTTTGAATATTGCGCGATGTGATCTCGAATCGGCTCGACTGTGATCTAGTAGAGGTCTCGACGGTCGATGCAAACTCTTCGACATCTTGTTAGTCGTATGTAAGCGCTTGATGCGGGCGGGGCATGGGCACTGTCAGCAGGCAAATGCTTGGCCAAATTCCTGCCCAAATACGGACAAACGAGCAACAGTCGCCACAGCCAACTGTACCACAGTATACCCTTCCAGTGACGCTCGCGACAGTTGTCGCTTTTCTTTCGAGACCGGATTTCAAATCTCTCAACCCGGCAGTTTGACAGCATCTTCTAGCACGTAATACCATGCCGCTGGTGATGGTGTCACGTGCTTACGCGTCCGCTTAGTCGCGGTGCAGTTGTATGGCGTTACACAGCATCCGGCAAACATTTCGCAAAACAAAGATCAACACTAACAGCTTCTCCTGGTCCACACAGTCGCAGCTGTGGTGGCTTTGGAAGCTGGTGACGCCATTTATCTTTCACTAATACCTTCGCTGGGTCATCACTCGTTCCCTGTCTACCCACGAGACATCGCAGAAAACACGCTGGCATCGCGCTGTGTCGCAAACAACGACACAACAGGGCTCTTTCTTCCATCACCACTCGGCATGTCATACTACGATAGCGATCTCAAAGCCGTGCTCGCGCAGTTTCACAGCCAACCAGACACCGACACGCGCAAGGACATACTCAAGAAACTCAGCGATAACCAGCTGTCGCGTGTAGTCATCCAAGGCGTGAAATGCGAGTTCGAAAGAGAAGGATTGGAGGACATTGCGCTAGTCATGCTGGGTGTCATCTCAAGGACTCCAGGCTTTAACGCGCATGATGTACATGAAGAGAATGGAGTTGCGGTGAAGCATGAAGAAACTAATGGGGAGTATGAGGTCGTCATCAAGATGGAAGAGCTAGACGACGTAAATGGAATCGTGATGATCAAATCAGAGGGTAAGATCATGTTATTCTCTCCAGACTACCGTAACCTTTACTAATGTAGGCCTTAAAGTAGATGACAGCGCGCTTGCTCAAACCCCGGGCCCGTCAACGATAGCAGCATTGTCCACCAATCCGGACCCCAAACGAGGCCGAGAAGCGCAAAAAGGCCCCGATACTTCAAAGGAACAGCCAACGCGTGCGGGTGGAAGTCAACCAGTATCCAGAGGTTTTGTGCCCAAATTCCACCCTCATGGTCCCAGTCAGATCAATTACTTGGATAGGACGCGCAATAGAGGTACTGCGCGAGGCTCAATGTACGAACCTCACCCTCATGGTCCTCGTCAGGCCGCCTACTTGGAGAGGAGTAGCATTAGATATGCCGCTCAGGCCCGCTATCTCTTCCCAGAAAGGCCTCGCTGGCGTGTATGAAGCTGCTATCCGGCCGTTGACATGGGATTCTGGCAATCAGACCGCAAGTAACAAGTCCAATACGAGAGGCTCGACCTCAAGGGGCTTGGTCCCCAGGCTCCGACAGCTAGTAGAGGAAAGAAGGATACGGCGCTTATGATGAGTTCGTTGATGAATATCGGTCTTACACCGTGTTTGATTCTTTCTGCCTGATTCAAATGGTGTTCATCTTCTGCCAATGCGTGCGCGTCACCTCGTCCGTTTGCACTTCCCCAATCCACGCGTTTTCACAGCTAGCGCCGTTGCGCCGCGCCGCACAGTCAGCAATAACACCGCTCTATTCTCTACCTTCCACTCTACATCGCCATTCAGGCTCGCATTGCCCACCATGTCGACGGCGGAGTCCTACCTCAAGGCTTTGCTCGCGCTTTCTGGGGACGAGCAACTCGCCGTCCCCCGCAGACATCTACTCAACACCATGAAAGACGGCGATGTCGCGGAACTACTCACCAAGGTCGTACAGAGAGAGTTTGCGCGAGGCGGATTAGATGATATTGTTGAGTTCATTCTTAACGTCATCGCGAGGGATCCTGCTTTTGTCGAGCACAGCGACACCACTGAAGCACGCGCGCCAAGCTTCAAGGGTAAAGAGGCTCGAGGAAACGACATTCAACAGCATTGTGAGTAGTCTGAACCAGATTGTGGAGGTATCAACTGACAATGCCCTAGCTGGAAACGAGATCACGGTGCTCAACGATTCTCCAACATCAGGTGAATCGGTGACACAAATGCAGGCAGGGAAGCGACGACCTCCGTACTCTTCTGGCAGTGGGATCCGCAAACGCTCGAAGCTCACTGAGCCTCTTGCAGTCGCCAGGCCTGATACTTCATCAGCATATCCCACACCTGCGCTCGACGATGTTCCCACCGCCTCGCCCAAGCTTTCTCAGAAAGTAACGCTCAAGTGCCAGGCGGTGCAGGTGATCACCGATAAGCATATCCCGCCCATCGAAATTGTCCGCTACGTAGGCGACTCTTACTTTCAGCTTACCACCTTCGCCAGAGGCAGCCTGGAAGCTTTAATCGTTGAAAAGTTTGACACAGATTATCTCTCTGATGATGGCCGTATATATGAGTGGGAGAGGCTGGTGAGGCTGCAGAAGGGGCTCGTGAGTCAACGTTGTGTCAATGAGACTGTCGTCATGAGGGCCAGGCAGCCCGGTGGACGAACGGGGAACATGAACGAAGCGTGCGATCGCTGCGTCAGAATGAAACGCTTGTGTGCCCGACTAGTCAAAATCGACGAAGTGACCAAACTTGCCTTTTTCCCCTTACCTCGCCAACACCGAGGTGACGCGGCAAGTTTCTCGCTGAGCTACTGGGTGCGTTCTTGAGCACTCTTGACGGGTAAGTTCATCACATGGGCACGAAGGAATTGATCAACGGGAAATCATACACGAAGAAGATCATGGTTTTTAAATGTCGACTAGACGAATACAAAGACTTCCCACATTGTAGTTCGAAGAAGGAAGAGGCGACGTAGTCTTCTGAGATACATTTTGGTCGATGGCTATGTAGATACAATCCATGATAAACACGTTTCTTCGCACATCGAGCGCAGGAGTCAAGTGAGTAAATACATCAGTAGCATCTCTTACCTTCCTGTCGCCGTAGGAAAAGTGCTCATGTGGTGTGGCATGCTTTATATCAGAACCAACCATCAGGTAAAGGTAGCCTCTTGGTCACGTCTCTCACCTGCTATCCTCACGCACATCCCCACCCTATCTTTATATACCGCCTTCCATCCATGTTCTCTTCTTCTTTCCTACATCACGCCCTCATCTATATACCACCACCTCCTCTCTTCGCTTACACTGCTATCCCACAACCCAGTCTCACTGATCACACCCATCATGTCAACCGCCAAAGGTTACCACGATGCACTCCTAGCCCTCTCTGGCAATCCCGTCTTTACCGGCGCACGAAACAATCTTCTCGCGAGCATCAGCGACAACGAACTGCTCGACGTCATCACCTACGGTCTCAAGACTGGCTCCCCCAGAGAAACTCTCAACGCCATCGCGACGCGACTACTTGATGGGCTTGCGAGGGCTCGAAACGCCGACGGCGCGGCAGCACCGGTAGAGGGCAAACATAGTGGCGACGATGATGGAGATGATGATGACAGTGGCGGTGGTGGTGTCCGCAAGAGTGGTCGAGGTGCTAAACCTAGAAAGAAGACAGTAGAAGGTAAGTCAAATCTTATTATGAAGACGATAACTAACATTTTGAAAGAAGGAACACCTAGAAGAAAACGTGGACCACCTAAACTAGCTCAGACCACAACATCGCAAGGAACTCCATCATCGACTACAAACAAGAAGAGAACGGGAGACTGCCTCATGCAAGATGGGAAGAAGAGAAGGAACGCAAGTCCGGAGCCGATGGACGATGATGAAGATTTCTTCAAGGCAGAGAATAATGAAGAGCAGGAAGTAGTGAAGGTGCCTGCAAAGAAAGCGATCAAGAAGCCTTCCAACACCACTGCAGCGGCCGAAATCAATACCACGGCATCTCCTAGCACCACCACAGCAACCGACAGCGACACAATCACAAGCTTTGAAGGCTGGGAGTTGTGGCAAGAGATCCAGAAGAACTCCGTGGTCAGGGATCTACAACTTGTCAACAGCAATGATACCGATGGCAAGGGAAAGAACGGCGATGGGAAGCAAGCCAATTCCAGATTTCTACCCTCCAGCATTACCAAGACTACACAGATCCCCGATATCGAGGTCCGTTTCAAAGTACCCATCATGCCAGGTATTCCGCTCGATGCCAAACGAGGAACGATGGACGTCTTCGAACCCGAATTCGTCAAAGACTTTGTTCTCAAATTCAACAAAGACTACCTCGTGGGCGAAAAGAATAGGAAGGCGTTCCGCGACATGATCAACCAGGAGTTTCCATCTGATTCTTGTGTACGCTGCGTCCTGGATCCAGATTATAAGACTCGAGGATGCCTTAGTTATATCGCCACCCACAATCCAAATTGGCACTGGGCATGTAAGGGTTGTCTAAAGAAGACAACGCTGTGTGCCAGAATTGAGAAGTCGGCCAATTACGACGAGAGTCCTACAGCTACGAAGATCGTGCTGACGGTATACCCGATTCATCCGGATTTCCACTACGGAGCAGATTGGCAGACTATGGACTTCTGGGTAGGAACTCGAGGTCATTGAAGGCTATCTATGATGAAACAACGTCAGCGAGGATTTGAGAAGTTTCTGGCGTCTGTGGCGAGTGCGTTTCTTGATTGCATGTCCACGACAAGCCGATGTGGTCCAACGATCGCAAGTGAGCGACTGCTGGAAACATATGATCATTCTTCGGGCGGTTTCTATTGCGTTCCATCTTTGCGCGGCTTCCATCACCCCTCCCCCAAAAGCGAATAGGCGTTGCCAACCTGTGGCTTAGCCTGCATTCTCTGCTCAGCCTTCTTCTTCTTCCTCTCTCCCTCCCTCATCTGCCTCTTCTTCTTCTTATTCGACACCTGCTCGCTTGGCACTTCCACACCAGCAGATCTATATATCTCTTCAATCAATTCCTTCAACTTGTCGTGTTCAGCCAGGATGCGCTTTGTCTGTCCCGGAACACCCATGACCTCAGGTATCGAGGGGAAGTCGGACATGTGATTGGCGATCTTGGACATGTTCTCGCGCAGCTGGGCGTGTGCGACATCTTGTCGATCATTGACGTCTACTATGAGGTCGGGCACCATTGTTGCTTCCCCGACCTTGATCATTTGGAGTAGCATGCGCAATGAGTAGAGAGCGGCATGTAATCGCGCCGTGAGGTGTACGAAGGCCCAGCTGTTATCAAAATCGCAGTTCAGCACTCGTTGGACGAGGGCGATCGGAGGCGGGGTGTTCAGTTCGTTCAGGACTAGACTGATACCGTAAAGCGGCCATAGGAGTTCGGAGCTGATCGACTCCGCATCACGCCATTCTTTTAAGCCGCGCATCTGTCGCTCCAGGTCCTCGACGGGGGTTTGGTCGAAGCAGGGGGGGTATATGGAGATTTCCTGGACGGAGATACCTTGTGCTTTTCTTCTGTACTCTTGTACTACCGTATACACATATTTTGCGGCTATGGTGTATGCCAGCCTACGTATCTCGCGCCCTACGTTCCAAGCCGACGCTTGATTGGGCTCTTCAATAAGTAAGGGCATGTATACGTGGGGAAATTCCATTCTGTCGAAGGCTTGAAACATGAATTCGGATAGCCGTACGTCAATCCTAGGTACCTCTTCCCAGTGTGGACCGCCTGGACTAACTATAGTTGGATCCTCCGCGACGTATCGGCGAGCGAAGTCAAGGTAGCGTACAGAATTCCGGTCTACGGCATGGGCTTGGTGAGCTAGAAGCTTCGCACTATCCTGTGGGTTCTCGATGAGAGTATATGCGAATGTCACTAGGCTCGTTACTTGTAATTGCTTTCGGATCTCGTTCGGTGAGTACGCCTTGATGCCAGTCGATACGTCCGCATCGTAGAGAAACACTATCAGTGTGTCTATGAAGTAGTCATACAAGACAAGATCGGTGTCGCTCGTAAAGATGATGGATCGGGGATGGTCTTTGGCATGCGACGCGCACCAGTCGTCTGCTTCTCCCGGTACCGTCTGGGTCTTTGAAGCAAAGGGCGAATCCAGTAACGCTTCCTGCAGTGCAGGTGCCAGGAATGCGTACGATATTGAGCCCAGGTATGTGGGAACAGGACAGGAAACGGTAGCATAGTTGTTGCGAAATTGCTGCACTCGTCTGTTGTTGGCCTCGGTCCTGGACAGTCTCTCGGCTCGCTTTGTAGTAGGCAAGGCTCCATCGAAGTAGATGGCAGACCTGAGAACGTGCGATCAGCAGTGGACGGCATAAGCTCACATCAGCACTCGCATAACGTGCATAGAACGGTCACGGTCAAGTGCAATCAAGCAACTTTCCCATCTCGACTCCGCGATAAGTGAAGTTTTCGCGACCCCTGCAACAATGGCGGTGAAGTGAAGAACATATGTGCGCACCTTATTGGCTTGCCGTGGTGGTTCCGTGGCCGGGCGCTGAAAAGCAACTGTTTTTTACTCACACCTTGATGTTGCTATTCTCCAACGAGGTCAGCCAGCGGAGTGCTTCAGCGACGATGTCTGCATAAGACGGGATTCGGGTCGCGCTAGCGGCTGAAGCGAGGGCCAATTTGTGAGCGTGGTAGGCGAGCGCAGGGCCGTCTATCACGGCGGAGTAGCCGTCTAGCTGCTCGGAGGAAAGCCGCGTCGCATAGGGTTCGAGACGCCTGGCAAGGCCCTGGATACCCATTTTGAACAGGTGGTTGAGGGTGTTGGGAGGGAAGGTGTGTTCTAGTCGAGACGGAAGGAACGATGGTATGCACACGGCCAGGATGTCCCCGCAGAGGGTCTGGGGCGAAGCGAGGCGGGGAGTGGTCAGTCAGGAGTGTTGTGCAGTGTCTTGCCCTCAGATGCAGGGCTAGCGCATGGGCGCAGCGAGTGTTGGGACGTTGACGAGAAAAAGTCGTCGAGGATAGCCAGCGTGGCGTTGGTCTTTCCGCCGATGAGCTAGCGCCGGCGTCATCCCGCGTGGTGGGGGAAGCTGGGCCCCTCACCAGCTCAAAAGTTGCCAGCTGCCACATCGCCCGACTCTCCAATTGCTTCGTCTTTCTCTCACAAAGCTCGAAGAACACACACAGTCAATATGAGCGTCCGAACTGTCGAATTGAAGCCTTTCCAGGACCAGAAGCCAGGAACGTAAGTTGTCTATACCCAAAAGAGCTGGGAGGTCTGATGAAGCTATGGCGTTGATGGATGATAGCTGACATTCTACACTACAGTTCTGGTCTCCGCAAGAAGGTCAAGGTCTTCCAGCAGGAGCACTACTCAGAGTCGTTCGTTGCTAGCATCCTGCAATCCATCCCAGAAGGCGTTGAGGGCGCATTCCTCGTCGTTGGTGGTGATGGCCGTTACTGGAACCCCGAGGTCACCCAGACCATCGCCAAGATGAGCGCTGCCTATGGCGTCAAGAAGCTTCTCATCGGCCAGAACGGCATCATGAGCACACCCGCCGCCAGTCACATCATCCGGATACGCAAGGCGACGGGTGGTATCCTCCTCACTGCCAGCCACAACCCCGGTGGTAAGTCCTCCACTACGCATGCACTCCTCCCATCTAACACATCCAGGCCCCGATGAGGACTTTGGTATGAAGTACAACCTGGCCAACGGTGCCCCGGCTCCCGAGAGCGTCACCAACAAGATCTACGAAACCTCCAAGACCCTCAGCTCGTACAAGATCGCCGACATCCCCGACATTGACCTCAGCACCATCGGTACACAAAAGTACGGAAGCCTCGAGGTTGAGATCGTCCACTCCACCGAAGACTACCTCAAGATGCTCAAGGATATCTTCGACTTTGACCTCATCAAGTCGTTCCTCAAGGAGCACTCCGACTTCAAGGTCCTCTTCGATGGCCTCAGCGGTGTAACTGGTTCATACGGTGTCGACATCTTCGAGAAGGAGCTCGGCATCACCAACAGCACACAAAACTGCATCCCCAAGCCTGACTTTGGTGGCCACCACCCCGACCCCAACCTTGTCTACGCCAAGTCGCTGGTCGACGCCGTCGACAAGAACGGAATCCAATTCGGTGCTGCCAGCGACGGCGACGGTGACCGAAACATGATCTACGGTGCAAACTCTTTCGTCTCGCCCGGTGACAGCTTAGCCATCATCGCACACCACGCCGAGCTCATCCCATACTTCAAGAAGCAGGGCATCTACGGTCTTGCCCGTAGTATGCCTACCTCTGGCGCCATTGACCTTGTCGCCAAGAAGAAGGGCGTCGAGTGCTACGAGGTGCCCACCGGCTGGAAGTTCTTCTGCGGTCTCTTCGACTCTGACAAGATGAACATCTGCGGTGAGGAGAGTTTCGGAACCGGCAGCAACCACATCCGTGAGAAGGACGGTCTGTGGGCTGTTGTCGCATGGTTGAACATCTTGGCCGGTGTCGGACAGCAGACTGGAACCACACCCAGCATTGCGTCGATCCAAAAGGACTTCTGGACGACCTACGGCCGCACATTCTTCACCCGCTACGACTACGAGGGCTGCGAGACCGAGGGTGCCAACAAGGTCACCGCCCACATGAAGGAGCTCATCACCACCAAGAAGGACGAGTTCATCGGCTCCACCGTCGCTGGCCGCAAGGTGCTCGAGGCCGACGACTTCTCCTACACCGACCTCGACGGCAGCGTCAGCAAGAACCAGGGTATCTTCGTCAAGTTCGACGACGGTAGCCGCATCGTTGTTCGTCTGTCCGGCACAGGCAGCAGCGGCGCCACGATCCGTCTCTACATCGAGAAGCACACCAGCGACGAGTCGACATACGACATGGACGCGCAGGACTACCTCAAGGACAACGTCAAGCTCGCGACAGACCTCCTCAAGCTCCAGGAGTACGTTGGCCGCACCGAGCCCGATGTCAAGACCTAAGCGCGTCGTGGGAGCAGGGAACGCGTAGATGTAATAGCATGATTAGACGAATGTACACGAGATATCACAATAGTAACATAGCACCAACAAATGGAATAGCATGGCTGACTGCCCCGTGGCGAGAATGTTGTTCGTCATGACCTCGTTGTGTTTGGGCGGGTGTGTGGCTTAGCTCCGACGTCATTGCCCAATCTAAACATGCTCCGTCCGCAGCGTCTCCATAACAGCCCTCCGTCCCCACTGCGAAGGTCCCTAGTCTTCGACAACCCCCGCCTTTCACGATCCCTACACGCGCGTCTACACCTGTCGACGCTTCTTCTTACTTCCCTCTCCTCCTCAAATAACCCCCAGCACACGTGCATCGCAATCATGGCTGAGAAAGAAGGATCGGCAGTGCCACCCCAGGCCAGAGGCTCATGGACGAGCTTCCTCAAGGTATGGAATTATCCCAGCATCCTCACGTGTCTAGAGATGTTCGCGCATAGCGAATTGCTCGTACTAGGAAACCATGGTGTTTGGC